TGTCTGTTTGTGTGTGTGTGTGTGTGTGTCTGTTTGTTTGTGTGTGTGTGTGTGTGCGCGTGCGTGCGCTCGGATTCACCCGCAGCCATAATGAGCCCAGAGCCTCATCCCGAACCGAGGCGAAGCGGCTAGCTTTAGCAGCGGGCCAGCAGCTCGTTTATCTGCACTGGTTAGGGTTGCATTAGGAAATGCAGAAATGAGTGATTGTGAACGTGTTAGGGTTTGTTCACACGAACACACACATCTCTCTCACACTCACTGTTTGAGCAGTTACATCAGTCATCTTCAAGAGTCTGTCTGATCAGATCCAAACATTATTTACTGTCACTCGGAAATCAGTCAGAATACAGCAGTGGATGAATGTGACAGGCATGATGGGAAAGATCTTATGAAGGGTCATGGTATTGACAGGTGAGCAACACCTGGAGTGTGTCTCTCTCTCTCGCTCTCTCTCTCTCTCTCACACACACACTCACACACACACTCTCTCTGATGTGCCTTATATGCCGCTCACTGTGTGAGCGTGTGTCTGTGTGTATGTGAGATTGTGTGTGTGAGTGTGTGAGTGCACGTGTGTTTGAGAGAGTGTGTGGGTGTGTGTGTGAGTGAGTGAGTGAGTGTGTGTGTGAGAGTGCATGTGTGTGATGGTAAGTTCGGATAATTTTACCGACTCGGACCTTTGAGTCTCGTTCAGCAAAATGAACGAATCTTTTTTCTGAGTCATTTCGTTCATTTTAGCAAAATATAATTAAAATGTTACATGTTACTTCCCTAATACGTCTACTACTTACGCAAACGTTGATCACACTACAAACAATACAAAACTGCTATAAGAAACAGAAAAGATTAATTAATTGTTTACCTGGGTCTTCAGTCTATTATTAGCTCACCTCACCTCTTATCTGACAAGTCTTCGGGTTTGGGCTTATGGGCCTGTCACATGATGAATGAACAACTCAAACCCGGAGACTCGAGAGATGAAATAATCAGTTCTCTTTCCGGCTCAGACGGCATTGGTTAAAGCTTATGGGTCTGTCACGTGATTAACGAACGACTCGGAAAAACCTGAATACTCAAACCAGGTGAACTACTTGACTAATTCCAGTACAGAACCTATAGGATGTTTGTGCATGCGCAACTAAACAAATCACTCCCAGAGACGACTCGTTCTTCCCGAGTCACATTAAAGATTCGTTCAAAATTAACGAATGTGTTAGTCTTTCAGTTGCAGTGTAGTTTGTGTGGTGTTAATGTGTGTGTGAGAGTGCACGTGCGTGTGTGAGAGTGCACGTGTGTGTGTGTGTGTGAGAGTGCACGTGTGTGTGTGTGTGTGAGTGCACGTGTGTGTGTGTGAGTGCACGTGTGTGTATAGTTTCACAAAAGTGAAGTCGAATCATTCTGTTTTTGCTTCAATTTTCGAAATTAAACAATCTAATTTAGATTAAAAACTGCTGGTGTTGCATGTATGCAGCATCTTTGTTTGGATCGTGATTAAAATGCAGTGGTTGCCTCTAATATTAAATGTTAAGAGCACAGACAAAGCCTTATTTTTGTTTATATGAAGAGATTTATTTTATTTGTTATTTATTTATTTGATTTGGGGCTTGTTTTAAAATTTCAATGTAGTTTTATTTACATTTACATTTATATTTAAATTGTCATTTAGCAGATGCTTTTATCCAAAGCGACTTACAAATGAGGACAATAGCAGCAATCAAAACCAACAAAAGAGCAATGATATGCAAGTGCTATATTAGTATATTATTATTATTATAGTGTTATATTTCAATTTCACAAAGAAATGTGCAGCATTTTGTCCAATCAATAATAAAAGGACACATTTAATTTATAATTTCTTAAATCTCATTTTGTAAAAAAAATAAAACATATTATTGTGAATCAAATCGAATCGTGAGTTGAGTGAATCATTACATCCCTAGTGAGAGTGCATGTGCGTGTGTGTGTGTGTGTGTGTGTATGACGGTGTGTGGGTGTGTGTGTGTGAGAGTGCGTGTGCGTGTGTGACAGTGTGTGTGTGTATGAGAATGAGTGTGTGATTGTGTGTATGAGAATGAGAGTGTGTGTGTGTATGAGAATGAGTGTGTGTGTGTCTGTGTGTATGAGAATGAGTGTGTGATTGTGTGTATGAGAATGAGAGTGTGTGTATGAGAATGAGTGTGTGTGTGTGTCTGTGTGTGTGAGAATGAGTGTGAGTGTGTGTCTGTGTGTGTGAGAATGAGTGTGTGTGTGTGTCTGTGTGTATGAGAATGAGTCTGTGTGTATGAGAATGTGTGTGTGAGAATGAGTGTGAGTGTCTGTGACAGTGTGAATGTGTGTGTGTGAGACAGTGTGTGTGTGAGACAGTGTGAGTGTGTGTGTGTGTGTGTGACAGTGTGTGTGTGTGTGTGTGTGTGTGTGAGACAGTGTGAGTGTGTGTGTCTGTGTGTATGAGAATGAGTGTGTGATTGTGTGTATGAGAATGAGAGTGTGTGTATGAGAATGAGTGTGTGTGTGTGTCTGTGTGTGTGAGAATGAGTGTGTGTGTGTGTCTGTGTGTGTGTGAGACAGTGTGAATGTGTGTGTGTGAGACAGTGTGTGTGTGAGACAGTGTGAGTGTGTGTGTGTGTGACAGTGTGTGTGTGAGACAGTGCGTGTGTGTGTGTGTGCCGCTCCTTCAGTCCTGTTGTGAGTCAGCAGCACAGTGACACAGTAATCTTCTTGTAGTCTGGCCGTGTCTCTGTCTGTGCAGCTGAGGATTGTGTGATCTGGACTCACACCGGTTCACACTGCTGGCGAGTGAGTTCAGATCTCATACGCTCACCTAAGCCAGTCCAGAATGCCCAGCGTGACACACGTCTGAGTTCATGATGTTTGTGCTTCAGAATAGAAGAGCTCTTATTAAAAATCACTGAAATTCATCCATGATTTTTTTATCTTTCTTGAACCCGTGCTGACATGTTCACATTATAAAGGCCTGCTGTGCAGAACCTGTATGTTCTGATTTCATCTTTCATTGGTGGATCTCAGCTGTCAGTCACAGTGCTGACCAATCAGGGCTCACCTGTGTGTTGTTTAGTGTACGCGGGTACACACACTCACACACACACTGAAGAGCGCTTGATGATTCTCCTTTAGTTGATCGAGTCATTCACTGGATAAAGTACATCCGCACTATGTCATGAAGTACTTCATGAAGTAAGTGACAGTGTGTGTGTGAGACAGTGTGTGTGTGTGTGTGTGCCGCTCCTTCAGTCCTGTCGTGAGTCAGCAGCACAGTGACACAGTGATCTTCTTGTAGTCTGGCCGTGTCTCTGTCTGTGCAGCTGAGGATTGTGTGATCTGGACTCACACCGGTTCACACTGCTGGCGAGTGAGTTCAGATCTCATACGCTCACCTAAGCCAGTCCAGAATGCCCAGCGTGACACGTCTGAGTTCATGATGTTTGTGCTTCAGAATAGAAGAGCTCTTATTAAAAATCACTGAAATTCATCCATGATTTTTTTATCTTTCTTGAACCCGTGCTGACATGTTCACATTATAAAGGCCTGCTGTGCAGAACCTGTATGTTCTGATTTCATCTTTCATTGGTGGATCTCAGCTGTCAGTCACAGTGCTGACCAATCAGGGCTCACCTGTGTGTTGTTTAGTGTACGCGGGTACACACACTCACACACACACTGAAGAGCGCTTGATGATTCTCCTTTAGTTGATCGAGTCATTCACTGGATAAAGTACATCCGCACTATGTCATGAAGTACTTCATGAAGTAAATAACACAATCATGGAAGAAGATTATTGTAACTTCTACCTTTAATTTACAGTTAATTTAATGAGAAATCAGTTCTGAAATGGAGTTATTCAGAGCTCCTCGTGTCTTTACTGGATGCAGATCCTTCTCCTGAGTGTGAGAAATCTGTCTTTATGTTCTTTATGCAGATGATTTGATGATGTCTGGTTGGTGGTTTAGGCCGCATGACCTCTGAAGATGACCTGTGAGATTGTTAGCATGTCTGCTAAAGTAATTCTGATTTGATTTGAATTGATTTTTTCATTACACATTAGAGTTCGGGCTACACGATATTGGAAAAAACTCACAAAATTTGCGATATTTTGTTTTTCTGCAATATATATTTCGATATGAAAAAAAATCACCAGATGACTTGAATAGCTCTATTTGGAGAAAGATAATCAATGATTGGGGTGATTTTGTAGGTGAGTAAATGAGTAAACAGCATAGAATATAAACAAATTACAAGCATAGATCGAACAAAGAAACAAATGAAATAAACACTGCTTTATATTTGTCAGGTAAGTCTAACAGTATTCCGGTACAGAAATTTAATAATCAAATGTAAAATAACTGCATAGTCTTCACTGTATAAATAAAATCTAATAAATCTGTGTTAAAGCTGCAAAAGTGATTGTGTTTTGTTGTTTGATTAACATGACACAGAAAGCAACAGGAATATTAAACTGCTGTGAACCAATATAGTGTTACACATCCATTTTCTTTCTCTATGGTTTTCCTTCACCTAAGCCATAAGCAACTGTTTACAAGCATACTTGCAGAGACATAATTTTGCGCGTATGTGTCATTTCAGGCACAAGTAGACGCAGAAATGAACAGAATTCGGTGTTCATGTGCATCTGCGTGTCTACACCGGACGACAGAATACTACAGAACCCATTATAATCAGTGAAGCGGTCTACTCTGGATGCGGTGCACGACAAATCCCTGACGGTAAACTAATGCGTTCTGTTTATGAGGCACTGACACAAAGATCAAATGTTTTGCAGCTCTGTTGTGTCCAGTGTAGAACTGCTTTAGCTGTAGACACGGCATCTCTGTGTGAGCAAAGAAAACGATCTGTATAAATATAACGATCAGTATACTAAACATCGCACATCCTGCTATGTGACTATTGCGGATGCGCACATCACGATATCGATGCTAAAACCATGTAGCGTGCAGCCCTAATTAGACTTAAACATTTATTTCGTTTTTAATTTTAACATTTGACCAGAGGGCATTTTGTTCCTTGCAGTTTCATTTTGAGGTTTGCAAGGTGTGATCAGTGTTTGACTTACAGCTGCGTTTGGGTGAAATCTTCCGTTTACAGATCATTATGTATTTATTACATTATATGTAGAGTAGCGGCGCGCTGTAGTTTTCGCATAATAAAGGTTTGCTGTGAATGATGCGAGTTTGCGTCAGAGCGACTGTAAAGAATCTGGAAACTCGAGGCGTTTGTGGACGAAAGCTCCGATCTCGACTCCCGTATTTCCAGAAGTGGTCAGATTATAATATTCTCTTTCTCTCTTTAGGAACCATGAGTTTGCGAGAGCTGCATCTGAACGGTCCATGATGAGCAGTGCGTCTGCAGATCGTGAGGTGCGCTGTCTGCTGTGAACGCCACGCCTGACCCTCGGCCTGCTGGGAGCTGCAACTCTTTCCATGTGTTTATTTGAGGTGCTTTTATGTCCAGATCAGAAGCGCTTTCAGACTCTTTTCTCATGGCTTTGATTGCTCAGACACTAGCTGCGGAGTTCCTGTCTGCATCGAGTGGCAAAGTAATGCGGCCCTTTCTCTGGGCTGCGCTGTGAGCGTCTCGCTGCGGTCCTGTTGTGCTCGTCTTCTCTCTTCTGAGCGTCAGAATGAGACATTGTGTCGGGACAGAGAAGAGCGTGTGATCTCTCGCCAGCAGTTTTGCGCTGATCCAGAAAAATGAATGGAGGAAAAGAGAGGGAGGGTGCTGAGGGCAGAGGTCAGCTCGCCCAGGTGCCCATCGGCTGGCAGCGCAAGGTGGAGGCTTCGGGGGTCCTGTATATCAGGTATGGACCTGCTCTGTCTGAACATGCATCGCCAGGGTCCACATTCATTCCTGCCGAAATTAACCATCCATAAACATTTCCTAACAGCCGTGAATCACTATTTTGCATTATTTCTAATTAAAATATGTCTTCGTCAGTGCGACAGTGGCATTGTTCAGCTTAAGTTTAGTTTAGGTGGCGTGTCACTCGCAGCATCATTTATGAGATTCGGTGAAACTGCAGCTGACACAAAAACGCTAAGACGCGATGTGATTTGGTCCTGTTTACATACGGATGGTTTAATGAGGAGAGTTCTGCATGCACATCGCTGCAAAAAGTAGGGAGAAAAATGCATCCCAGATCAACATCAGGTGTTCAGTGTGATGGTTCAGTTTTGAATCGCTCGCATCAGCGAGGCTCAACGGTTCCTGATAAGTTACCAACCCAAACCAGCTGCCCTCGTCTGGAGTGTTTCATGTGGTTCTCCAGACACAAGCAATTATTTGTAGAAAGTGTCTAACATTATTTTACTGTAATTGTGATCATTTGGTGTGTGTGTTTAGTCCGAGTGGATCAGTGCTGTCCTGCCTCGAGCAGCTGAAGTCGTACCTGCTGACCGATGGCACGTGTAAGTGTGGTCTGGAGTGTCCTCTCGTCCTCCACAAGGTCAGTACTCCGACGTAATGCTGCCCATTTCACACAACCTGGACATCTTTCCAAAAGCCATGTTGTCATTGATGATAGTGCTGATGTGCAGGATAAATCACTGTGCTGTATTTTATTGTGAGAATTATTCAAGATGCATTTTTGTCACTTGTTTAAAGGGGTCATATGATGTTGCTAAAAAGAACATTATTTTGTGTATTTGGTGTAATGAAATGTGTTTATGCGGTTTAAGGTTCAAAAAACACATTATTTTCCACATACTGTACATTATTGTTTCTCCTCTATGCCCCGTCTTTCTGAAACGCGTCGATTTTTACAAAGCTCATCGTGTGCTGTGATTGGCCAGCTATCCTGTGCGTTGTGATTGGCCGAATACCTCAAGCGTGAGACTGAAATGTTACGCCCCTCACCATACTGTGCTGCCGTGTCCGGCCGGAGCTACGAGACAAACACATTAAAAACCCATTATAAACCAGGCATTTGTTACATCCAGTGGGGACATAATTATGGGTTATAATGACTTATACTGTCTTTTTACGCGTTGCGTTGCATCGCGCCGCGTAAACATAAAACCATGTCTGCATTTGTGATCGGAGAAACAACAAACAACAAGCGCTACTCTACACTGGCCAAAACTCGCGTTTGAATCATCAGTGGCAAATCCTTTAAATATAAAAATCGTACTTACAGTCTGTGAGTCAGAACTGCAGGCCGGGGGGGGCTAGAGTGAGCGGAGGCCGGGGGCTTGAGAACGGCGCGGCCGGCGGATTCAACGAAGGAGTGTCCGGAGGGCTTGCAGCAACCACATGTGACGACCCCGGGCTGGCCTCCGCTTCGTCCACGGTGAAAGCCGATCTGGTGATCCACAGCGAAGTTGATGTATTTCCTCAGCGACCAGCACGGATCAGCTCCAGGCATGACGAAGCAGATATTGTCCTCTTTTGGAAGACCAAACAAAGTAGTTTCACTTTCACAACAAAAAACACAGCGCTTTCACGACATGGCGGCGGCAGCAACAATACTACAGCAAGAATAAAAGTTACGCCTTCTTTCTTTGCGTGAACATTTGGGCGGCGTTATGCAAATCTTCCCACATCGTGATGTAGACATGTGGGGGCGTGTTAGAACGAGCATTTTAGGTAGGCGTGGCTGACTGTATATATTTTTAAAGACACATTTATAAAGAATATCTCTTTGGATTTGAAACTTTAGTCTTTGCAACTTTACAGATCTTCTTTATGCACCAAGAGCTTGTAACACTCCAAAGAGAAAGGAACAATTTAAATCGCATCATATGACCCCTTTAAGCTAAACATAATCAGGTCAAAATGTCAAAATTTTTGGTCCCCAAATTTTTTATCAGTTTTACTGGTAGTCCACTGTATGAAGTATTTCTGGGTATAATATGTCACAGTTTACTTTTATTTTGCTATCCTCACTTACATGAACTACAGTGTCCTGCACCCACTAGTAACAAAATATAAAAAATTATATCTGGTGTCTGAATGGTTTTTGGTTTGAATGTATGTGTCTGCAGTTTGGACACACAAGAAACAAATGTATATTTTGGATAAAGTATACTTGGGTAAAGTCTTTAATGATATTCGGGATCTTCCCCGCGCTGAACTGGATTTGATGGATATGAAAAGCGACCAGCCACAGCTCTGCTTTTACCTGCTGTTTAAGAGCAGCTTAGCTCTTTTGTGTTGGAGTCCCAGAATTACAACATGAACACAACATGAATGATTCAGAGCCAAACATATTATGCCATGAATTGCACAGTGGTATTTTAGGTCTAAGCTTCTGGGCTCATGCTCTGGTCAGTGTTATGTAACCGCATAAAAATCAATGCTGAAAGGAGATAAATGCATGAATGTAGTGTTGTCACGGTACCAAAATGTCAGTATTCGGTACTAATACCAGTGAAAATCCACGGTTCTCGGTACCAAAGCCGAAATTAATTTAATCCAAACTGTGTACATATTTAATTTTAAGGGGCTTTTGAAAACCTTCTAGAGTTATTCAGCCAAGAATAACAACTAAGTTAGTTACAAAAAAAAAAAAAAAAACTGGTAAGGTTTTCGTTTTGTTAGTACCGACTTGGTACCGAAGTACCGGGTCTTTTGACAACACTATATTGTATTATATTGTTATATTTAGTGTTGTCAAAAGACCTGGTACTTCGGTACCAAGTCGGTACTAAAAAAATGAAAATGTTGCGGTACCAGGTTTTTGTAAGTACCGGTGGTACCGAGTACCCGGTCAACCTGGTTCTTGATGCGCTATCCGAAAGGTGCGTAGATGTGTTCTCTTCATAAAAGCACTGAGACGTGGCGACATCAAAACAAGGAAACACACCAAACTAACAAAACACTTTAAAGACAGACACCCAGATCAAATGAAAGAGTTCAATCAGGTAAGTTTCATTTTCATTTTTAATATTTAGATCAGTGTTTCCCATACATTGATTTATTTGTGGCTGCCCGCCACAATATCAAAACTGACCGCCACAAATAGATTTTCCAAAAGGCTTTGACTTCGTTAAATAAACAAGAGCACTGCACGTGTCAAAGTCGAAACCCGGTGCGGGTGTTTTTATATCACTGTATTTCTGAAGGAAACCGACTGTCTTCAGAAAATTATGGATGTCATTTTCGTCTTTACTGTAATGCCTGAGCAGAGTTTGTGAGCGCAGCACTTATTATTTGATTGCAGCTGTTACCGGGGAAACCTCTATCTCTCCCGCTCTACAAGCGCCTCCTGCTGGCAGAGAATGAATTTGCATAAACAGGAGCATCTCAATAAATTAGAATTAGAATGTCGTGGAAAAGTTCATTTATTTCAGTAGTTCAACTCAAATTGTGAAACTCGTGTATTAAATAAATTCAGTGCACACAGACTGAAGTCATTTAAGTCTTTGGTTCTTTTAATTGTGATGATTTTGGCTCGCATTTAACAAAAACCCACCAATTCGCTATCTCAACAAATTAGAATATGGTGACATGCCAATCAACTAATCAACTCAAAACACCTGCAAAGGTTTCCTGAGCCTTCAAAATGGTCTCTCATTTTGGTTCACTAGGCTACACAATCATGGGGAAGACTGCTGATCTGACAGTTGTCCAGAAGACAATCATTGACACCCTTCACAAGGAAGGTAAGCCACAAACATTCATTGCCAAAGAAGCTGGCTGTCCAGAGTGCTGTATCCAAGCATGTTAACAGAAAGTTGAGTGGAAGGAAAAAGTGTGGAAGGAAAAGATGCACAACCAACGAGAGAACCGCAGCCTTATGAGGATTGTCAAGCAAAATTGATTCAAGAATTTGAGTGGACTTCACAAGGAATGGACTGAGGCTGGGGTCAAGGCATCAAGAGCCACCACACACAGAC